ACACAGACAACACACAGAGCAGGGCTTGCCTTGTACCCCCACCCCTCCCTTCTTCCCGGGCCCAAATTACTTTGTTCCTGCTTTCTCTCCCTCCTTCCCCCCAACAGCACAGGGGAGGTTTAGAGTCAGTTCACAGGCTGGGGGGTCCTGCTGCTCCTTCCTCCTCAGGAAGAAGGATTCCTTACAGTCCTGCCCTGCTTCCCCACGGGGTCCCTCCCATGACAGAGAGTCCTCCACGAACCTCTCCTCCTTCCCACGAGGTCTGGAGCTGCTCCAGCCTGGGCTTCCCACAGAGTCATGGGCTGCTTCAGGAACAAACTCCCCTGGCGCTGGGGTCTTCTAAAGCTGCATAGTCAGAGTCCACTGGCAGCAAATCCTCTGGCCACAGAATCCAAGTCTACTGGCCAAGTTCACCCCTCCTGTCGCTTTCAGGGAATGTTCCACCACGTTTCTCCACGAGTGCAGGGGCACAGCCTGACATCTCACCATGGGTTGCAGGGAAACTTCTGCTTGGGCACCTTCTTCCCCTTCTTCCTCACTGACCACCAGCACCGCTCTGCTTCCCCAGCACTGCTCTCCTCCTCCAGCACAGCTCTTCTCCCCCAAGTGCTTTTCTCAGGTGTTACCTCAGTTCTTTTGTATGTTAATCGCTGGGGCACATCTATTGTCTCTAAACAGCTCCTTGGCTGGGTTTTGGGGCAGGAGGAGCTTCTCAGCTTCTTACTGGAGCCACTCCTGGGGCCCTTCCCCCACTACCAAAAAACCCACCAAACCAAACCAGAACAACTCCCTAGGCACATTTTTTTTTTTTCTTGGTGTTTATCTGCACATTTTCTATTCACACGAGTTAGTGAACTAATGTAACTACTGTGCATCCAGTGCTTAGAGACCCATTTACCCAACACATTGTAGTCATTACAGTTTTCTGGGTGAAAAATACATATCATTTTTACCATGTATTTGCAGTGCCTTTTTGCCTAGCTAGTGTAAATCAGCAGAAGATTCATTCCTCTTTCTTTCCCGAGCTCTTGATTTATAAGCTCCTGAAAAATGCAATGGATCAATCAGGTGGTTTATGTAGAAGCAGGAAGAGAGATTGGATGCTGCACAGCAAATACATCTCATTTGTACCAGGATTGGACCCTGCAGTGCACTTTTTTCCTTAGCTCTAGATGGAACTTTGTTATGGTTCCACATAACCACAAACATTCCTATGCACAGCATGTTAACTCAGTATTTTATCTAATAAAGTACTGAAGACAGTCCTGCACCACTGAATGCAGCAAGAGTAGTGGTAGTGGGCTTGACCAGGCTCCCAATGCCAGGCCTACCATGTGGCCAATGTGACATTGCTATAGGGTTGTCATACTTGTTCCCATCTCAGTATGTGATGCATGGATTCAGGTAGCGACCCTCACATCTCAGATGAAAGGCAGGGAATGCAGAAGCAAATTTTTAGGACCCAAATCTATAACTTTATCATAGTGGAAAAGTCTTTGGGGATGAGATGGGCTGTATTTTCAAGAGGTGTCTTTTTTGGAGCAGTTGTTGCCATTGAAATGTTTAAATGGGAGAGGAGGTCTGTTCAATCACAGTTTAATTATAGGAGCAGTTTGGGAGAATGTTAATTTGGATGCCTAAGTTGTTTTTCCATAGAAGAATACTACACAGGAAAAAAAACAAAGGACCACTGTTTTGTATGGCACTGGGAATTACAATAAATAGTTTGAGTGAATTGGTATATAAATATTTAGCTGGAAGAAGAGTAAAAGTGAAATGTTTCCTGTGACACTCTTTGATTTCCACTGATTCTTTCTTGTAGCTTAAGGTAACCTGCGCCATGGAAGTGAGTAGAAGCTCTCTTTTTTTTTTTTCTTTAGCACTCCATTAATGGCCTCCTTTATATTTAATTAATAATTGATATGTCTGAAGTGTAGAAGATAAGTGGAAAAACAAACAGAGAAGAGAATGCCTAATGAAAGAGCTTTGCTGGAGTTGTTTGTTCAGCATATTCCAGCTTGCAAAAAAAACAGCTTGCTTGGAAAAAACAGCCTTTTGGTGGGGGGGAAGGGGAGCAAGAGAGTCCTGCATCGTTCTGTGCAATCCCTGATATGTGTTTACTGTCATTTCTAGGAGTTCCAACACCCAGTCCAGAAATCCTCCGACATACGTTGAATATGCTTGTACGGGAGAGGAAAATATACCCAACACCAGATGGTTATTTCATTGTAACCCCACAGACTTACTTTATAACACCATCTCTCATAAGAACTAACAGTAAGTGGTACCATTTGGATGAGAGGATACCTGACAGGTCTCAGTGTACCTCTCCACAGCAAGGAACTATAACTCCCTCCACCTCAGGATGTGTCAGGGACCGAACACTACCCAAAAACCACTGCGACTCCTGCCATTGTTGCAGAGAAGACATGCACAGCATGCATGCATCTACACTACAGAGGAAATCAGCAAAAGACTGTAAAGACTCATACTGTCCTCCTTCATTATGTCAGGTCCCACCTACTGAGAAAAGTAAAAGTACTGTCAATTTTTCTTATAAAGCAGAGACACTCACAAAGCCTAAGGATGTAGAAAAGCAGTCTAAGAAATTTGGACTCAAATTATTCCGATTAAGTTTTAAGAAGGACAAGACAAAACAGTTGGCAAATTTCTCTGCCCAGTTTCCTCCAGAAGAGTGGCCACTAAGGGACGAGGACACCCCTACCACTATACCTAGAGAGGTAGAAATGGAGATTATCAGGCGTATTAACCCAGACTTGACTGTGGAAAATGTCATGAGACACACTGCACTAATGAAGAAACTTGAAGAAGAAAAAGCTCAGCGAAGCAAAGCAGGATCTTCAGCTCACCACAGTGGGCGAAGTAAAAAGAGCAGGAATCACAGAAAGTCTCATGGGAAATCGAGGTCTCACAGCAAGACTCGGGTGTCCAAGGGAGACCCATCAGATGGCTCTCATTTGGATATACCTGCTGAAAGGGAGTATGAGTTCTATGATCCTTTGACTCGATCCCCACGGGAAGGCTGTTATATCATAGAACACAAGGGAGACAATTTTATAATGCACAGCAATCCTAACATGATTGAATCTCACTTTCCTATGACACCAGAGTGGGACGTATCTGGTGAGCTGGCCAAAAGAAGAACTGAAATGCCTTTCCCTGAACCTTCCAGGGGAAGCTCCCACTCCAAGGTCCATCGGAGCCACAGCCATACACAGGACAGAAGATCAAGGAATGAGCGGTCCAATAAGGCTAAAGAAAGGTCTAGATCCATGGATAACTCCAAGGGACCTCTGGGCTCAGCTACTCTAGGCACACCTGAAGACATAGGTGAAGGCTGTAGCCCAGATGACCAAACAACTAGCCAAACTTACATTGATGATAGTACCTTAAGGCCATCTCAGTCACTCAGTCATCAAAGGGCTCTGATATCATCTGCAAGTTACAAAGAGACCTGCATCCCTGAAATAGCTAGTGGCAGTGTAGAAACCCCCAGTTCTTGTAGCCTATTGGAACAAAGCAAGGCCACAGAGAATTTGCCATCGTATAGTGAGCTCAACTCCTGCACAACAAAATCTGCTGTTGATGACTACTTCCAGTGCAACACATCCAGTGAGACTGTTCTTACTGCTCCATCACCACTGGGAAAGAATAAAGAGGATCATGACACACTGACAGGGACAGATGGGCTCAAAAAAATTACTCCCACAGAGAGACAGTCTCAACATATTGCCAGGGAGCCTGGAGTGCACAAAGAGGAGTCCCCAAAGGGCCCAAGCAGTGGCTCGGCAATTGCTGGCCAAACTCCAGAGGTGATTGCAAATGGGCGGCTGGTTCAACACCACAGCACTGAATCAAGCAGCCTTGATAAAAGGAAAGAAATATTTAGCAAGGATACACTCTTCAAACCTCTGCACAACACTCTTTCTGTGAATAGTTATCATAAGTCTAGCACATCCCTTCTAAAGCCCCATCAGAAGACCCCCTCTGACACGTTGCCAGTCAGATGCGAGAAACTTGAACAAGCGATAGTAACCTCAGTCACACAAGTCATGCCTGTTTCACAGAGACAGCAAGAGACAACTGGGAACCAGGAGGCCTCCTTTGACTACTACAATGTGTCTGATGATGACGACTCAGAGGAGGGAACCAACAAAAATGCTGAGGAGGAAAAGAACAGGGATGATGTTGGCACAATGCAGTGGCTGTTAGAGAGAGAAAAGGAGAGGGATCTGCAGCGGAAGTTTGAGAAGAATCTTACTCTTCTCACACCAAAGGAGACAGAAAACAGCAACAACCAGAGAGCCACCCACTCAGCCCGCCTGGACAGCATGGACAGCAGCAGCATTACTGTGGACAGCGGGTTCAACTCTCCACGGTAGGACTGTCACATTCATTGAAGCTTTACAGACTAGGAAGTTGCATTTTTAGTTACGTGTGTGTGATACTGCTGACAGAACATAGGGTCGTATTAAACACGTAATTTCACATGCTTTCAGACCGTGTATCCTGCAGCTCTGAAATGTGCTATTCAGATGTATGGGTTTCCCACCATATCATAAGCAACCAGTAACGATTTGCAGCATGACTCTGTATTAGTTCATGTTCTGTTTGCTGAAAACTTCCCTGTATCCTTTTTCTTTCCCTGTATTAAACTTGTGTTTGCATTTAGAATAGAAGGGATGAGCTCCTGCATATTCCCCCCTTCCCTTTCCCACTCAGATACCATCAACAAGACTGATTGGAAGACTAGGCACAACTAGGTGGCATAATTTCTTGGTCAAATCAAAAAAAACCCAAACTTGATGATTGTTTTGGATTTGGGCTTTTTTTTTGTTTCTTAAAAAATTTTGGAGGTGTATCTATCACCATTCCAAACTGGTGAGACTGGAACAGCTGCTCCCCACAAACAGCTGAAAGTCTTCAGGGTATTTGAACTTCAGAGGTGACCCAGTGCTGCGTCAGCATGGAGAGAGGTGCCTTGCCTGAGATACTTGGGGAGAGAGTCCAGATGTTTGTGTGTGGTGGTGCCTAGTTAGTCATTGCCTTTCCAGGGATCTCAAATGCCATGGAAGTCTCAAGTGTCTTACAGGCATAGGAATGAGGGAGTTGCTTGTGTGTTCCCTGCCCCAAAGATTTCACAAGCTCATTTCCAGGTTAAGAAACTTCACTTGAGCTGCCTTCTTTCTCTGACCTCTCACAGTCCTATGTCCCTGCTGGAATGGAGCTTGCCTGGTTTTATTTGCCCTGGATAGCAGCACATCAGAGTTGCAAATAGTGACTCTAAGAACATAGAAACAATTTACAGTAGTAGTTCTACTATCTTAAGTTATTGCCTGGTTTTAAAAATAAAACTTACAAGACTAGATTTGTATTAGGGGAAAGAAAATGGGGTTTGTGTTTCTTTTGTTGTTTAGTTTTGGGGTTTTTTTGGGGGGAGGGTTCCCATGTAAAAGTGTTCTTATCCCTCAGAATTAATTTTTAAAAAAAATCTATAGCAAAGGGTCTCAAACAGGCATGTGAAGGTTTCCTGCTTCTACACAGGACTAGATTTAATTTTGAGTTGAAGTCATATCACTGGAATGAATTCCTTTGGATTTTATGCCTACTGCTACTTGATGTTAAGAACAGGGCAGCAATTATTTGGCCTGTTGCAGCATGCAGTGATCATCAAACTAGAGCATGTTTTAAATGTATATAGTTTTTTTCTGAGAAAAAAATGTGAAAAATAACTTGAGTAAATTGTACCACTTATACAGAGTCCAGGTTAAAAAAGAAACTTCAGAAGGTTTTGACCTTGTTCCTATTTCTGATTGTTCGGCAGATGCTTGGCATCTTTCTCACATACAACTGTTGTATGAGGCTATTTGCACTGTTCTTTTAAAAATTAATATCTTCTTTTAATGAATGTGCTATACTTGCAGTCAGTTTTTGTGGCAAAGTACATAGTGGTGTTTGCTTCTTGCCCAGCCTGTCTCACTTCACAAAGTGCATGTCGCTTCCAGGATAGGATGTCAGCTGGATAAAAATCCATTCTTAGACTCTTATTTTGCTAGCTGTATGCTAGCTGAATATCAAGCTTGCGTTTCTGGTTAATGCAAAGGCAGACATTTCCTTCCCTAATTGTTTACACAAAAGCTAAAATTTCTGTTGATGTTAATCTTAAACTTAGCTAGCAAGAGAACAGAACGTGGCAAGCACACTGGATTTAGTGCTGCTATACCACTTTGTTTAGATCAAAAGGGAAACAGATAAGCAGCTTTTAATAATGATTGTGTTCCACACATCCCTTTTTACATTTTATTTTACTGTTTACTTATTAACAAATATCTTTTTTTGGCAAGCCTACATAAAGTAAGATTTAAAAAAAAAGCCAACATAAAAGCAACATCCTGTAGGACTTTTTTTGTGTATTTATTTTGTAAGACTAGTATGTAGTCTGTATATTTAAAATGCTTTTTCATGAGTTCAGGATTATTTTGCTGAGTTTTGGGCACTCCTCGGTGTAAGTCTATAAAAATAATTTGAGCTGAGGGTGAATTCAGCCCTTTGGCTATAATTACCATGCTGCTAACTGCTTTTGTACCTTATTACAAAAAATGTACTCCACAGCCCTTTTCCAGGAAGTACAAAAAAGCTATCCAGCATCCATCTGGTACAATACACTAAATCTGACAGTGTCTTATTAGCAGGTTCCTAGGGAAGAGTAGAAGGACAGGACATGCATGTACTGATATTCCTCAAGTATAGTCTTCTCACCTCCACTGGTGACATCTTGATTTCCCTGAGGTGTGGTGGTATCTTTTAATTTACACTGAAGTGTGCAATGTTGGTTGAGGAATGAAAATTACCAATTCTCGATTGTGAAAGAAAAAGTATCTATTTTTAAGTGTGACAAGTTGAAAAAAGGGGCATTCAAAAAAGTCCAGGACAACCAGGATATAGTTAAAGAGGTTTGTAATGGTTATTTGACTTCAAAATTTTATTGTGTGCAATTTGGTGAACACATCACCACTGGGAAAACAGCCTCATGGTATTTTGTTCAGTGCTTTTATGCAAGTTGTGTATAGTAAATGTTAGCTATCAATTTTTTTTTTTTCCTTTATTTTTAAAGCTTATATAATACTGCTGCTCTTTTGTCACCTAAAGAAAGAGCTAATTTTGGCATTACTCTGCGTGCAAATCTCTCACTGCAGTCTTTGTGTACATGTTGTATTGGTCAGTTTGTAACACCACAATTGAAAACGTTTGAGGATCTGGGATTAGTGGCCCTATAATAATATGATACTGAATCATGTCTGAAAAACAAAGGTTGCATGCATTTTCATTAAAAAACAGAGGGAGAGGAGTAAAAAAATGAGCAACAGAAGTGCACCATATGTTATTGCAGCTCACAGAGTGCTTACTGTGTGCGTCACCCATCGGAGCAGTTTGGAACTACTGACAAAGGCGATAATTGGCAGGACATAATCAGTACCACTTTGATCAATGTAAACCATCTATGGGTCCTAAAAGCATCATAGATTTTCCAGATGCAGTCAGTTGAAGATGTTTTAAATCTGCCCTATGACTAAACAAGGTGTTTCTTCTTTTCACTACGCCATGCACTGTCACATTTCTCCCCTGCCACATCCAAAGCTGTGCATTCCTACTCTTCCCCTGATGCCAGCACTAATATTTTTTTCTTTTTTTTTTTTTTTTTTTTTTTTTTTTTTTTTTTTTTTCCTTAGGGCTAGTATTTAACTGAGAGCGGTCCCTGATCTGGCTGGCTGCAAGGCTCAGCATCAGGGAAGCAGCAGGAACATGTGGCAGGGTCAGGTCCACACAAGGCAGGCAACAGCTGCCCCTTTCAGTAGCAGGTAAATTTAGGTTGACTTTAAACTGACTATGAAACTCTTGTCATTAGTATATTTGTTTCTAGTGCTCATTTAACAAACCTATTCAGTCCTTTAAATGTACTCTGTAAACATCTCCATAGCAAGTGGTGATGTCATGTTGCAAAGAGGTAGGGATACAGTTGAAGGATGCATAACCAAGGACCACATGGCTATTTGAAAACCAACTTGCTCTCTGCAAAGGAACACGTTACTTGGAGATCAAAAATTGTTAGGAGCAGAAAGAGAACAAAAAGAATAGTAGTGGTAAAACTAGCCTTCGCATATCTTGGCTGAGGTTTTTTTAAAGCTGTGGACAGGCTTCTCTGAATTCATAATTAGATGTCTCATAGTCTTTAAAAGTACTAAGTGTACTGTCACTCCTGTGGATAAATTATATGTTGGAGCTAGAGGAATGTTGTCCATTTTATGGATTAAATAGCAGCGCTGGTTGTTACGGGCAGTATCACAGAGTTAAGATTTATCAGCGTTTTGTAAGTTGCAGTTGTCTCCGCTGCAAAGCAAAATGGAAGTGTTCGGTTTAGAAGCATGGTGAGTTTAATGTAAAGTAGCATTTTAGTTAATAATTTGTGTCTAAAGACATAGGTAGGAGACAACAGAGGAAGCTGTGTTATGTGAATGCTGTCCTAGCTCTGCCTAGTCAACAGAGCTGATTCAATTAAGTTACTTTGTGCAAAAATGCACCAGTCAGGGAATAAAATCGATGTGCTCCACAAGCAAGATGGAAGGTATTTCCTTGGGTGAAAAATCCAGATGCTTGATACTGGTTCAGCTTACAGTTTCTGTGACAGCTTCAGCTCTGCCTAGTGCTCTGCCTGTGTTGCAGTGTGATGACTACTGAGTACCTTTGGAACCCGTTTTGAAGGAACTTATGTGTACCATCAAAATGAGATGACTCATTGACACGACAGTGCATATAAACACAGGAAGCCTATTATAGAACGCTCTATTCTCCTTTCCTGTCTGGCTGATAGGTATATGGGCAAGTCATATATGAGTGTGTATATGTATTTCTTTTCCGTTCTAGTACTCGTGAGAGCCTGGCATCCAACACTTCAAGTATTGTTGAAAGCAACAGGCGTCAGAACCCCGCTCTGAGCCCTGCACACGGTGGCGCAGGCCCAATGTTCAACTTCCGAGCCACTGCAGACCCACCAACAAGTGAAGCTGAGAAACTGCAGAAACCTGCTAACTGCCTGCAAGCTTCTGTCACTAGTGTCTGATAGTCATCCTGCCTCAGATCTTCTGTCTCATCCTATACAGCAAAGTTTACGACACTGGGACTGATGTTTACATCTTCGGGAAAAAATTTAAAAAGCATCTCAACCACAGTTTCAGTGTTTACTTAAACTGTGCTGCTAAGTAGACTAGGGGCAACAAAGAAATCTTTATTTCAAGGTATTGCTTTTCACATTTGCGGCTCTGTAGCAACAGAATAGCAGTAGGGATAATATGTACACTTTTTGCTTCACTTAATTGTAACTGAGCACATATATGAAAGTCTAGACACTGTAAGTGTAATCTGCATTTTCAATGTTCATGCAGTTGCCAACTTCATTTAAAAAAAATGCCACAGATGTGTGATGCCCCCAGTCAGAGGCTAAACTCTGCCGCAGAGTTGATCGTTTTTCAAAAACTGAGCCACTGCTGAAAGTAACCAGCCAGGATCACCATGAGGAAAAACAAAGCCAAACATGATAAGTGATGACCTCAGCTCTATCTGTGAATTATTAATACTAGTCAGTCATTTTCACTGTGCATTTTTGTGACACAATTTTGCAAATACCCATTTAAGTGAGCAAAAAGAGGTTTGGGTATTGTTTTGGTTGGGGTTTTGTACGTGGAGGGTGGGAAGGGAGACAGCTTCTCCTTTTGTGTTTCAAAAGTATTGAGAGTTGTTTACTTAACTGAGACTTGCTACTTGACCTTCCATAGTCACAAATGAGGAGGGGGGCCTTTGTGTAGCGGGGGGAGTGGGGAGGGAAGGGAAAGTTATAACTGTCATGGAGCCACAATGTGGAGTGACACCAAATATAACAAATGTCTTCAGTATAAACCAATATTTTAAAAAGATAATTCTTGTGTCACTACTGGTATTGCAACTTGCCATTAATATAGGAATCAGGATAAATCTTTTCTTGAAACAAAAATATTCTTTATGATGTAAATGACAAGTATGGCCTGAAGAATTGATTTCTTTCTAGTGGAAGGACATAAATCTATTTTATGTAGTTTATTAAATAGAGTGCCTAAATTAGGCTATTAAAATAGCATACATTGTAGTGATTATCAGAGAACAAAATTTAGAGAATTATAAACTTCTGGCCTTTTATTCAGTGGATGTTACTTGCAATTTAGCATTTTATGGACATGTCTAGTTTCTAGAAATTACATGTGTCCACATGGTTGGCAGTAGAAATCTGAATTCTGTAGGTATGGTATATTCTCATTGCTCTCCCCCAGACTGTTAATTCAAAGTAATTAGTGCTATACTGATTATAGTGGAGACACTTCTAAGGATAAACTCCAAGAGTAATTGTTAGGTATAGGGTCACATTCTGTTCTGTTACTTACGCAACCTGGTAGTGTGACAAACTGACTTCAAATTTCTTATTTCATCATAACAGACAAATTGGTGCAAGAATAACAAAGATACTAAAATGTTCAACAGCCCAAATTGTTGCATAGAAAAGGGACATTTATATTGTCTAGCTCTTGTAGTACACAGATATGAAATTCAACTGTACATACTAAACCCCAGTATTTTCGTCAAGTTCTGGTGACATGTATTACTCTGTACACAAGGTCATTTGAACTTCACTCATGTTCCTTATTGTCATCAGAAGTCTTTACTGAAGATTCAGCCTTATGTTATACAGTTGGATATAGTTCATTTACTTACAAAACGGCTTTCTAACTCTGGGCACAGTGAGTGTCCAGTTCCATCAAGAGCACTCAGTCAATGCACAGGTCTGTTTTCCTTTTTTTCAGTGTATAATTTCCATTTCATAGGAGCAATAAGACCTTTCAGTGCACATAAAGGAAATTATTGTGCTTTTGGTTGGTTATCAAAGTCACTTGGCCTTTAGCCTTCTGCCTTATCATACCTTCCAAGATGTGCTCTAATTACCACCTAATGCTTTGCATGACGCATCTTCTTATTGAGTATGTAACTGCAGCCGTACTTATTCCATGCAAACTGTAGAGTCAGAGTTTTTGTGGGGAATTGTCATATACTATGCAGTGGCTGACTGTGATTTTGTTTCTGAGACGAGCTCTGACATCAGTAGTATGTATCAATTCAGTAAATAAAAATGTCGAAACGATAAAAAAATTTACAGTGATGATCTGAAGTGCTCACGGCAGTATTAAATTGTGAACAGCAAAAATAAATTTCACCTTTGGGGGAAATACTTGTTTGTCATAAGCTAATCAGAATTTATGCAGGCAGCTGGTTGTACAGAAGACAATTTCAACAAAATATGATAGTACACACCTATAAACTGTATAGTATGTTAGTTCCTAAAGTTCCCAGAGACCAACAGATAACATAAATGTCATATTAATGTTGACATGGCATTGTACCAATACTAATGTGACTCTTGGAATATGGAATGTAAACAGAAGTTTCAAATAGAAACGTTCTAGTTTTGAATTTTATTTTATTTTTTAATTTTATAATTTTTTCCATTTAAAATCAACAATGGAATATAAGGAAATTCCATCTTGAGGTTCTGGTAACAAAACCACGAGAGTGGAGCTTGAGTGCTTTATGTCACCCTAATCCTTTGATGATATCATAGCCTTGTATTACATGGTTGCTTATCTGTCATTCTTATAATGTATCAATTTAAAGGTTTACAGAGTTAGATTAGGTTGAATCTGTGTTGTGTTCAACTGTAAAGGGTCAACACAAATCTGTCGGCATTTTGCACACTTAATATGTATTATTATAATACAACATGTTACTTTTATGGTAATTTTTTTTACACATATAACTACCTCCATGAATTTGATGAAATGCAGCAACATGAAAAGTGTATTGTACAAAGCAAGGTTAAAAACTTCGAAGCGCTAGGTCATGGTGTTCTTTTGTGTGTCAATGCTTGCGTATGAAGTCATCATGTTTCCATTGCAACAATTTCCTTCTACAATATTAAAAATCTGGCTTTCAGATGAGTCACTTTGACAAGGCTGCATAATTGGGATAAAAGTGAAAGGGAGGCTGAAACCTTCCATCTTCTCCCAAGTTACTGCTAAAATTTCGGCCTGGTAGAACTTGAAAATGTATTTGTAATTTAGCAAATTAGAAACATCTACAGTCTGTGAAATATGATTGATGGTTTGAGGTTTAACCGGAGACACTCTGGGTATTTTCTTGGCAGCCTTCAAATACTTTGGGCCCTATTCTGCCTCTGTCTTCATTAACATATCAGGCCATAGTTTCTCTGAACTGGCAAGGGTGTTAAAACAGCTTTTCCTTTAAGGAGGATGCACATCATCTGTTTCTAGATAATGTGCATCTGAAACACTTGCTCCTATAGAAATTATTAACAGCCTTTAATTGACTTTGCTGGGAGCAGTACTGGGGACCCTACTCGAGGTATGTGCCTATTGTTCAAAGAACTTGGGCGAGTTTCCAAGAAAAATGAAGCTGGCTTTTGAAAAGTAGCCAGCTGCAACAAGCCACCTTTCAAGAGGGAGGAAAGAAAGGAAGATTTTGCCAAAAACCAAAGGAAGAAAGTGGCAGTTGAACCTAAGCAGATCGCATTTATTTACAAATCTGGATTTATGAACAAGTCTTTCAGTAAAACTAGTACCATTATCCTGATGCAAATGAATATACAATCATCAGTTGAGCTTATTTTGCCATTTTAAGTATCTCAGTTAAAAATTACAAGAAATCATTAGCCATTGGACTGTTTGCACCACTGTAAAATGTCCTTTACACATGAAAAAATGTTTACCTAACTTTAAAAAGCAACATGTATTGGAAAACAAATATTTTAATGAAAACCATGGCCTAAGTGCTTTCCAGCAGTAGGTGTTTTTTTTTAGAAAAAAGAAAAAGCAAACCAGTATTCGGAGGCCATCATCAGCACTGATAATACTTTGCTCTTAAATCATGCCTTTTCGCCCAAGGGCCTCGAAGCACTTGGTACCAGCAGAGCCTGCTGAGCCTGTGAGGTAGAGAGAGTTCACTGACCCTGCTTTATGTCTAGGCACGTTGGAAAAAAGCAAAGGCTGAGAGGCTGCAGACTTATTAACCAGTTGCTTTCTTAAAGTTATTGGAGTAAGTTTAATAGTTAACCAAAGTGTTTCATGTTTATACTCCCAAGTTATTAATTTTGATGCGTTCAGTATGTTTAAGTAAGAGAGAAACTACTTTGCGGTCCTGCAGAGGCTCTTGGATTAGCAGTGCCAAAATCAACCAAGTTTTCAGGCATATTACTGCCAGTGGTGGTTTTAGAAATAGTTATTTTAATTAAAAATTTGTTTTTCGAATACATTTCACAGAGCTTTTCCCAACACAATTGTTCCAGTTGTGCTGAGAAAGCAAATAGCACTCCTGATCCAGTGTCACACCCACAGTTTACAATTCTCTTTGCTCTTCTGAAGAAAACTGTACAGTAGTAGAGACAAAAGTTCTATTTTTTACAAAATTCTTTTTAAAAAGTCTATATCTAAAATCTTCCCCCCAGCATAAGTAAAGTGCATCGTTGCTGCATGAGAAGCCTGCAGCAGACCCACCAAAAGCCAAGCTGGTGCTAGAAGAAAATGGGACTGTCACGCTTCTTGTATAGCGGCGCTCTAAGCCTTGGTTTCAGTTACGCGGGTGTGAATCTGGCACAACTCCCCTGATCTCCCGCGGATCTGATGGAGATGGGAATGGCTCGTTAACTCCATTGAAGCTCAGTTCTGAGCTGAGGGTTTCCATGTTCCTTCCCCCAGCCCGCGACACTAAATGCAGAGAAGGAGCAGGCAGCCACATGCACGCCCCTGGCTCTGGAAGGGCAGCTTGGGTTGAATCCCCAGAGGAGCACCCAGCAGGGATGCTGTGACAGCCACCACATGTCTCCCACCTCGGATGGGTGGCTTTCCGTGTGGTATGCTGCCCTCGTTAGCAGTTAGAGCCATCCAAAAGATACCCACCCAGAAGTATGAAAGGGCCCTTGGAGTAACTGGCACAGATGTTACTTTTATAGGTGGAGGAGACTTAGGTTTAAAGGGATCAAAATTCTGCAGGTAATTTTCTGTGAGTGACTGAATGTGGCTGTTGCATTAGGTTTAAATGAGTTAATAAATGC